TGAGTTGCTAAATTGCTCTTGCTGGGTTTGAACTCAATTACCCCCTTGTCAATCTCCCAAAGTGCTGAGATTACAGGCGTGTGCCACCATACACAGCTTCCATTTGATTTTTGAGGGTTTTTTTCTCTCTCTCTCTTTTTTTTTTTTTTTTCTTTTTGAGACAGGGTTTTGCTATGCAGTTCAGGCTGACCTTGAACTCACTTTGTATCCCAGGCTGGCCTTGAACTTGCAGCAATCCTCCTGCCTCAGCCTCCCAAGTGCTGGGATTACAGACATGTGCTACCATGCCTGGCTGAACTAGTATTCTTTCAATTTTTTTTTAACCATGTAAAAATATGAAACCCTTTCTTAGCTCACAGCTTAAATAAGAACCGGGAAAAAAGCCAGACATGGCTTTAGGGAGCCCTTATCTCAAAATAAAATAAAATAAAATAAAATAAAATAAAATAAAACCAGGAACAGGGTGCACATGGCTCAAAGACCAGTTTCCCAGGCACTGTTACAAGAGAAAGAGTTGTTGGAGGTATGCATTCTTTTTGTTTGTTTGGATTTGTTTGTCCATTTTGGTGGGGTTTTTTTTGTTTTGTTTTGTTTTTGTCTCTTTGAGACAAGGTCTCTCTATACAGTTCAGGCTGGCCTTGAGCTCACTGTGTAGCCCAGGCTGGTCTCTAGCTTGTAACGATCCCCCTGCCTCAGCCTCCCGAGTGCTGGGATTACAGGTGTGCGCCACCATGCCCAGCTTTGTTTTTCCAGGTTCTCGCTATATTGTTCAGGCTAAGATTCAATGCATCATGTAGCCCAGATTGGCCTCAAATTCATGGTGACCCTCCTGCCTCAGTCTCCCCAATGCTGAAATTACAGGGCCTGCCACCAAGCCCATCACATAAATACGTTTTTTCCCTGTGCTGGGCATGGATCCAGGGCCTCATGTATGCTAGGCAAGTGCTCCCCTCTGAACCATCTCCAGCCTGTCCGTGTATTTTCACCACTAAATAGGACCACTTCTCCCTTGCAAGAGGGAACTAGAATGTCCGCTACCCGGTGGGGGTGGATGCACACTTGTAGTACCAGCGCCCCTGGCTTTAATCCCCAGGAGAACAAAAAAGGAAATAATAAAACAAAGCATAAATCAAATGTAGAAACCCGACGACTTTTCCAAACTGAAAACACCCCAAACATTCACCAAGAACAGGTTCAGACCCAAGACAGCACTGGCTGGCCCGCTCCAGCCAGGCCAGCGTGAGTGCCACCCTGGCTCCTACCATCTCTCTCTTCTTT